GGCCTCTAGGTCCTCCAGGGAACGGACCACCCCAGCACCTTCCTCGATTTCTCGTCGAGCTCGGTCCTTCACTATGCCCCCGTGCCTTTCTGCCCGGGAATTTTGCCATGGACTTTCAGCATCACAAACATGATGGAAGATGTTGTGCTGCTCGAGCAACCGCTCACACTCGCCGGCGAACTCCTTTCCGCCGTCGGTCAGCATCACTTCCGGAACGCCGTAGGGCTTGAACCAAGCCTCATTCATGACCTTGGCAACTTCTTGTGCCAAGGGAGTCCCACCGGAGGGAGGTCCGCCATGAAGAGGACGAATCATCGTAACACTCTGCCAGTGCGAGCCGTGACAGATGAGATTCAGGAACGGAACAGAGCGCCCCTGCCAGGGCAGATAAAAGACATCACCTCCAACAATCTTGTTGAAGGCATACGTCTTGGGGAAGGCCGCTACCCTCCGTGGTATCTGCTTCTGCCTCCGCTCACAAGTTTCACAGCTAAAGCGATTTTTGACGTACTCCAACACCTCAGGCTTCGCTCCGGCTGCACGCAACATGACCAACATCCTCTCCTTTGGCAAATGCGCCATGTTCACATGTATCTTGTCAACCAAGGCCCGAATCTCGCGATCGCGCCGACCAGGTGACACACTCTCCTCGGGTTCCTCAGGAAAGGGCCGGGGTTCCTCGGAGTCCTCGTCGTCATTCCCATCTCCATGTTCGCTGGCCTCCTCTTCCCCAGGCTCATCACCTCCATCTTCTGCAAGAACCGAGCTGGGGGCTGAGAGAACCTGCCCATCCGTAAGGCACAGTGACTGCAGCACTCCATTCATCAGGTGCCGTCTCCATGCGCCCGCCTGATCATTCGGAGGAAGCCTGTCAAGCCCACCGCCCGGGAGATTCATCAGGATGGCCGCGTCGTTGGTGACAACGTTGGAGAGGCGGAGGTTGCCCTTGTCAACTGCCGTGAAGCCCTCGAGGTAGACGACCCCGGCTTCCTGAAGCAGAGGTCTGTACACCTGCTCCCGGAG